CCATTTTTTAATTTATTGTAGAGATGAGGTCTCACCAAGTTGCCTGGGCTGGTCTCGAACCTGCGGGATCAGGCAGTCCACATGCTTTGGCCTCCCAAAGTGCTGGAATTACAGGCTGAGCCACCAAACCTGGCCTAGTTTTTTGATTTATTATAGAAACAAGATCTCACCGTGTTGCCCAGGCTGGTCTTGAACCCATGGGCTCAGGCAGTCCTCTCACCTTGGCCTCTCAAAGTGCTGGGATTACAGGCTGAGCCACCATGCGTGGCTTAATTTTTTGATTTATTGTAGAAACAAGGTCTTATCATGTTGCCCAGGCTGATCTTGAACCTGTGGACTCAGGCAGTCCTCTCCCTGGCCTCCCCAAGTGCTGGGATTACAAGCTTGGGCCACCACGTCCGGCCTTCAGTGAGGTTTTTTTGGAGATCTTTTAAGGCCTTTGGCCACTTCATGGTGGGTGATTTACAAGCACACCTGCCACAGTGTGCTGAACACTTAGCAATTTTTGACCAGCATGCCTCCTGTGCCCCACCCTTCACCCGATCTCACCCCGAGTGACTTTTTTTGTGTGTCCCAGATGAAAATAAAGGAAAATGTTTGCCCACGAGAAGTGGTAAAACAAAAGGCAGAAGCACTAAAAAGCATCAACATGGAGTTCAAACACTGTCTTGAGCAGCGGAAAAAGCATCCTGATCTGTGTGTTGCATCACATGGAGAGTACTTTGAAGGTGACAAGTTTAGACATGTGAGGATAAATACCTGATTTTTAATAAATCCCTGGTTTTGGGGGGTTCCCTGTAGTTCAGCATTGCTACCTAAGTGTGTTGAGTGTGGAAAAAACAGGACCTCTGAGGCCTTCCCAGGCTGTCCCATCCACACTGAAGGCAACACCTGGCCAGGAAGGGGGATAGCCTTTATGTCTCTCAAACAATTTCTAAATGATTATAAAATGATTGTTACACTCACCATAGACAATTTTTACAATCCTGGTTTTTGTAAGGGTGACAAAGGATCAAGGTCATAATAACTACCCTAATCCCGTGCCTCTAACATAACCGTTGTTACTAGTATTAACACTGGCTTACTTTTTTTTTTTTTACTTTTTTAATTTTAAAGATGTGGGGTATAAATTCAGGATTAGGTATACAAATAAATGGTCATCGTACAGGTAAAGTTTGGGCCTTCCTTTGGTCCACACTTTACCTGGTTTGAGATCGGGTCTTATTGATGTTGTGGTTCTTTCCCCCCACCCCACCCCCCATATCCCACTACTGCCAATCCCCTTTTGGAGGGGGAGTTGGAGTCTCACTCTATTGCCTAAGCTGGAGGGCAGTGGCACGCTCACAGCCACCGCAGCCTCGACCTGCTGGACGATCCTTCCACCTCAGCCTTCCAAGTAACTGGAACTACAGGCATGTGCCACCACACTCGGCTAGTGTTTTGATTTATTGTAGAGATGAGATCTCGTCAAGTTGCCCAGCCTGGTTTCGAACCCATGAGCGCAGGCAATCCTCTCATCTTGGCCTTTCAAGTGCTGGGATTATAGGCATGAGCCATCGTGCCCAGCCTGCCAATCCCTTTCTTACAGTATTGTGGTCAATGTTGAGGGTCCACTTATGAGTGAGAACATACGATATCCTGTTCTTTGTTTCTGTGATAGATCACTAGTATAATAGACTCTAAATTCATCCAAGTGGCTGCAAAGTCCATATGTGTGTCCTTTATGGCTGCATAATGTTCCATAACACTGGCTTATTTCTTCACTGTCTCTTTTCTGTGCACATAATTTTTTTTTTTTTTTTTTAAAGCTGGAGTCTCACTCTGTCGCCCACACTGGAGTGCAGTGGCCGCTCCTGGCCACCGCAGCCTCGACCTGCTGGGCTCTGGCGATCCTTCCGCCTCAGCCTTCCGAGTAGCCGGAATTACAGGCGCGCACTACCACGCCCGGCTATTTTTTGGATTTATTGTAGAGATGATGTCTCACCTGCCCAGGCGTGTCTCGAACACGCGGGCTCAGGCAATCCACTCACCTCAGCCTCCCAAAGGCATGGGATTACAGGCTGAGCCACTGAGCCTGGCTGTGCACATAATTTCTAATGCGATTGAGATCATACTGAATATTTGTTTTTTTATGCTGCCTTGTTAAGCATTTATGTGCTTCACTTAAGATTTTTTTCATAAGCTTCTTAATGGCTGTAAAATGTGGGTGAAGGGTCAAAAGAAGTTCAACTCCTCATCAGTCGGTGAGTGTTTGCAGATTTCACTGAGGCTGGGCACAGAGGCTCGCTCTTTATAACACCAGCACTTTGGGAGGCTGAGGTGGGAGGATCAGTTGAGTCCAGGAGTTCAAGACCAGCCTGGGCAATGTAGCAATATTGCATCTCTATCAACCAATATTTTATAAGTTAAAAAAAAAAAGGCAGCTGGGCTCAGCCTGCAATCCCAGCACTTTGAGAGACCGAGGCGAGTGGATTGCCTGAGCCCACGGGTTTGAGATCAGCCCAGGCAACTTGGTGAGACCTTGTCTCTACAATAAATAAAAAACTGAGATGGAAAGATCGGCAGAGCCCAGGAAGTTGATGCTGGAGTGGCCGTGAGTATGCCACTGCACTCCAGCCTGGGTGATGGAGTGAGATTCCAACTAAAAAAAAAAGCACAATTCAGTGAAACGTCAAGGGAATACGTTGCACTTGCCATTTGGCAGAGCAGTGACCTATGTCCCATTGCATTTTTTCCATCCGTGAACGGTGAAGAACAGAGTCTTGCTGTTTTGGCTGGTCATTCCAAGCCCTATTATAGAAGAGATTCACAGAAGGTAAACGCAGTCACGTGTGAGGAGAAACCCAGAACTGAAACGCAGACCTGTCTCCACTCCTTTCTCAAGTCTTCAAGGTTTTTCCCATGAAAGATGAAAGCAGCAGTAATTCCCATGAAAGATGCTTTCTTCCTCATGGGAACATCAGCTCAGTGGGTTGGGCTTGGAATGGGTTGGTGGAATGGTCAGCACTTGACAGGTTTTATGAAGCTTGAGTTTCCTAGCAGACATCCTCCCAGCCAGTACACGGGTGACTTCTTTGGGTTGACTTCTAATTCTTCAGCAAATGCTTCCCCCATTTGAAGGATCTACTCAAATGACTGTTCAAGAGTGACCATACCGCAGATGGGGGGGGAGGGTGGCTATTTAAGCAAATACTTTTTTGGCAGGAAGAAAAATTTTCTCACCTACTCCTACCTTCTGTCATTCAAATTCTTCAAAAGGATGTTTTTGTCATTTTTGATTTGTTACATTACATTGTGATGTCGCCTGAAAAACCCAAGCTATTAGCACTGCATAAATATGATAATTTTCGTTGCCATCTATTAAAATAGTGGTGAGAAAAACAAACTGAAGAAAGCTCAGTGGTGATACTTCAAAACTGGGGCTTAGGTTAAATATTTATTATTTTCTTTAATGTGACAAAACCGGCTTAAGAAAACACACAGCTAAGAAATACAGTGGCAGCAATTCCTATGAATTAGGTTATTACCTGAGCTACCAAGTTCGTTAAGAGCAATTAGTTAATACTCCTGAAAGGCCTCGAATCTAAATCTTACGATGTAGGCGTTATCTCTGCAGTGGTACAGAAGATGTCAGGCTCCATGTTGGGTTAATATCTATTCAGCTTTCTTGTAATTATTCAATGACTCTATAAGACTGAACCCCCCACATTAGTGCAGTAGTTAGTGAAATCTATAATTAGGGGGCACTAAATCGAGCTGCTGAAGAAACCAGAGAATGGGACATTGACTGTAAGAACTGGGTGGCCAGGCAGATTTGCATTGAAAAGCAAGTCTAAGTTGGATGGAATTTCTGCTTACTGAATCAACTAGGAATGAGCATATCACTAAAACTGAGAATTATATTATTTATTTAAAAACGAGTGAAACATTAATTTTCAATACTTGGATTTTGAAAAGCTTTGTTGGATGCTAATGCCCCATCCTGAGCCAAAGAGGACAAGATACGTCTCTTCCTACAAGTTTTTTGTGATCAGTGTTGACCCAAATTCATCCTTGAGTGAGTTGGACGTGAAAGTTCTCAGTGAATTGTGCTGAGCCTAAAAATTCTTTCCAAACCATAGCATCTGTTCCGTATTTACAAACTGAAATAACTACGGATGTCAAGTGAAAGAAGATTCTACTTCCTTTAGAAAACCTTTTTTTTAGAAGTTTACATCAAAAATCTTTTTAGAGGCCAGGGTGTGGTGGCTCACGCCTGTAATTCCAGAGCTTTGGTGGGCTGAGGTGGCAGGATCACTTGAGGCTAGAAGATTGAGATTATAGTGAGCTCTGATAACACCACTGCACTCCAGCCTGGGCAGTAAAGCAAGACCCTGTCTCAAAAGGAAAATATTAAATGAACCAGATGTGGTGGCCCATGCCTGTAATCCCAGCTACTAAAGAGGCTGAGGTGGGAATATCGCTTGAGCCCAGAAGTTTGAGGCTTCAGTGAGCCATGATTGTGTCACTGTGCACTCTAGCCCGGGTGACAGAGTGGGACTCTATCTCTATTGTTAAAAAATGAATTTTTAGCTTGTTTGTTTCAGTCAGGGTCTCAGTGTTGCCCACACTGGAATGTGGTGGCATGATCACAACAATCACGGCTCATGACAGTCCCGACCTTCTGGGCTCAGGTCAGCATCCTGACCTCAGCATCCTGAGCATCCTCAGCATCCTGACCTCAGCATCCTTCCACCTCAGCATCCTGAGTAGCTGGGACTACAAGCGTGCACCACCACACACAGCTAATTTTTAGATATTTTTGTAGAGATGAGGTCTCGCTGTGTTGCCCAGGTTGGTCTCGAACACCTGAACTCAAGCAGTCCTCCCGCCTCGGCTTCCCAAAGTGTTGGGGTTACAGGTGTGAGCCACCACGCCTGGCCCCCCCAAAATCTTTAAAGTTTTGTATTTTCATGTTGTGGTATAGCTCACGGGTAATCGCTGCCATTTCTTCCATCCAGTACCCTGCCAGACAGTTCTAGATTACTTGAAGACGGTCCTGCAGCACCACAACCAACTCTTGATACCACAGCCAACTGATCAGCCAACAGAGGTAGGTCTCTAGTAAAAAGGTGAAGGGTTTTCCATTTGGAATTTCCTTATGATGAAGCCTCTTGGTAACTTGCCAATACTTGCCAGAACCGCTTGGCTGGCAAAATAGGTTCTTGATGGTCTGAGGTGTCGGGGTCTATTCGCTGGGAAAATGTAATCTGTGAAGATCATGCAGGTGTTTAACTACCAAAGACTACTCTGAGTAGGGAAAGAGGAGACAGATGACCATTTAAACAGCTTGTGCAATTCCTCACCATTCTTTCGACATGGGCCTGAAATAGGAGACACCAGCCTGTCATTCCCTCAGCAGAGTCCGTGTTCCAGAACACCCCTCACTCTGGGCATCTCCTACACTGGGTGAGATCCGCTAGGGTTTAGGTAGGTATTTTCCAGACCTCAAGGCCCCTATTGTGAGCCGTTTTCTTTCTCCACACCTCAAAGGAAGAACCTGTGGTCTCTGAGTATGTGGGAGCAGTGATGCATTTTGATGGCAATGGCATAACTGTTCATTGTGTTGCATGTTTACTTGATGTTCAAGGTTCACTCTTGATTTTTTTATTGAGTTGGAGTCTCGCTCTGTCACCCAGGCTGGAGTGCAGTGGCACACTCATGGTCACCGCAACCTCGACCTGATGGGCTCAGGTGATCCTTCCACCTCAGCCTTCCAAGTAGCTGGAACTTCAGGCACTCGCCATCATGCTCAGCCAATTTTTTTTTTATTGTAAAGGTGAAGTATCGTCAAATTGTCCAGGCTGGTCTCCAAACCCTGAGTTCAGGCAATCCTCTCACCACTGCCTCCCAAAGTGCTGGGATTACAGGCGTGAGCCACCACGCCTGGCCTGTTTTTTTGTTTGTTTTTGAGTCAGAGTCTCACTCTGTCATCCAGGCTGGAGCACAGTGGCACACTCATGGCCACCACAGCCTCAGCCTGCTGGACCCAGGGCATCCTTCCACCTTAGCCTTCCAAAGAGCTGGAACTACAGACGTGTGCCTCTGCCATGCCCAGCTAATTTTTTGATTTATTTTAGAGACAAGGTCTTACCAAGTTGCCCAGGCTGGTTTCAAACCCATGGGCTCAGGCAATTTTCCTGCCTTCACCTCACAAAGTGCTGGGATGACAGGTGTGAGCCATGGTGCCCTGGCTTTGCTTCTGGATTTATGTTGTTCTCATTGTACAGACTTGGGAGTGTGGACCCCTCCCATGAGCAGATACCCTCAAGTCTTCCCCACCCTCATAACAAGCCTTCCTTGGGTTCTCCCTTCCTTGGTGATCGCCCCTCCCTTCATCATGGTGTGTTTCCAAAGCTCTATCGGCATGTTTCTGCTGCACCACGATGCATCTTGCTCCTTGAAGGCTGGACCCAGGTCTCATCCCTGTTGATGTCCCCAGGGCCTGTCCTAGAAGGCACTCGATTCATGCTTGCTGCCCGGTGGCCTCATTTTTTTAGAGCATTCTCACTCTTGTTACCTAGGCTGGAATGTGGTGGCATGATCATGGCTCACCGCAGCCTCCACTTCCTGGCCTTAAGAGATCCTCCCGCCTTAGCCTCCTGTGTAGCTGGGACTACAGGCACCACCATCACACCTGGCTCAAATTTTCTGACTTTTTTTTTGTAGAGAGAGGTCTCACTATGTTGCCCAGGCTTGTCCCTAACTCCTAGACTCAAGTAATCCTCCTGCTCTGGCCTCCCAAAGTGCTGGGATGACAGGTGTGAGCCACTGCACCTGCCCGACCATTGTTTTAAACCATGACACTCTTGAAGGACTGCTCTGCGCTCTCTTCAGCTCTGTGCGCTCTTCCGCCCTGTGATCTGGCTCCATTTCCACCATTTACCAGGAGGGTCTGCAAGAGGCCCCTGGTGACCTTCCCGCTGTCTGGTCCCCCAGGCGCTCATGTCTCCTGCTCTGCGCTGGCCCTCGCCCTTGGCCCTGGAGGACTCTCTTCGGGCCCCCTGTCTTCACGGTGCCTGCACGCACCCTCCCTCTGCTGTTTCCGGAGCTCAGCTTCCCCTTCCTCTCCGGCTCTCCGCTCCTCCATCCATTAGGTTTGTACTCCCTCTCAGGACGTTCACCATGGGAGGCAAGCGAGTCCCCAGTGCACCCCTAGAGCACCATCCCTGCATCTCAGCTCTGCACACTGTCCCCTGCCTGGGCAGCCGTGGGGCGCCTACATGGCCCTCGAGGTCACCACCCCTGCCCTGAGTGCCCATCTCAAGTCCCATTTTCTCTTCAGTAAGGCCCGCTGACCCTAGGGAGAGGTTTCTGCCTCATCACCCACTCCCTTCTTTTCCTCATTTTTCTTTTCTTTTTCTTTTTTTCTTTTTGGAGTTGGGGTCTCACTCTGTTGTCTAGGCTGGAGTGCAGTGGCAGTAGCATGCTCACGGCCACCGCAGCTGAGACCTGCTGGGCTCAGGTGATCCTTCTGCTTGAGCCTTTCAAATAGCTGGAACTACAGGCACTCTCTACCATACCTGGCTAATTTTTTGGTATATTGTAGAGACGAAGTCTCACCAAGCTGCCTAGGCTGGTCTCAAACCCCTGGGCTCAGGCAGTTCTCTCACCTCGGCTTCCCAAAGTGCTGGGATTATAGGCATGAGCAACACGCCCGGCCTTTCTTCCTCATCTTCTACGTCTTCTCTCTGGTTTTCTCACTTTCTGCCTGAACTGTTGTTCTTTTCTTTTCCATTCTCCACACTGGAAAGTTTTTGTTTTTTGCCCCTAAATCACAGGTGCAAGCCAAGTGTCATATGCTTAAAATCCTCCGATTCCTAGCTTTAATTCCAGATTTCATAACTTGGCATTTCAGTCATTCGTCTATCACAGCTGAAGTGCCACCTCCTCCAGGAAGCTCTCCTTGACTGCCGCCCCTTTCTTTGTGCTCATGTAGGCCCTGAGTCTAATTTAGAACTGGCTGCCATATTTCATACTCAATCTAAGTCTACCACTTGAGTCTGAACACATTACTTGAAGGGTATTTTCCAAGTTTTTTCAGAGCGACCCAACAGTAGGTCAGTGTTGAACAACCTTAGATATGACTAATTGGAGAAGACGTACAATCAGAATTGCCAAAAATATAAAGGTGGGAAATTCTACGTTTCCTCCGATGAATTACTTAAACTTTTATTATTAACCATCGTCATCATTACTATACTGTTTTATTCTTTTTTCTTTTTTGAGTCAGGGTCTTACCCTGTCACCCAGGCTGGCATGCAGTGATGTGATTACAGGTCATCACAGCCTCAACCTCCTGGGCTCAGGCTATCCTTCTGCCTCAGCTCCTGATTAGTTGGGCCTACAGGCGCACACCACCACAACTGGCTAATCTTTTTTTTTCTTGTAGAGACGAGGTCTCACTGTGTTGCCTAGGCCGGTCTCGAACTCCTGGGTTCATGTAATCCTCTCATCTCGGCCTCCCAGAGTGCTAGGATTACAGGCGTGAGCCACCACATCCAGCCTACTTTACTATTTTTATTGTCAAATTAGGCACATGTGTGTATTATTCATCACATTTTATTTCTACTGACTCTGCCTAAACAGGATTGTTAGTCTCATCCATAACCCAGACAGCATTCTGAGTTGTTTTGGGGCTGTGAGTTACTTTTTCTCTTTTTCTTTCTTTCTTTTTTTTTTTTGAGTCAGCTTCTCCCTCTGTCGACCAGGCTGTCCAGTGTAGTGGCATGCTCACGGCCCCCGCACCTCAACCTGCTAGGCTCAGGTGATCCTCCCACCTTAGCCTTCCAAGTAGCTGGAACTACAGGCGTGTGCCACCCTGCCTGGCTAGTTTTTTGATTGACTGTAGAGACGAGGTCTCGAACCCCTGGGCTCAGGCCTCTGAAAGTGCTGGGATGACAGGCGTGAGTCACCACTCCCAGCTTGCCTCCCTTTGAAAAAGGAAGCCAGTTCACAACATTGCTGGTTACCAAGGTATGAATGCCGTCAGGGTGCGACTCCACGTGCAGACACGTGCGGCCTTGGGAAAATGAAAAGGTCAGTGCCAGTTCCCAGGCAGACCAGGCCACCTTGTTCCTGCTGGCACCAACGCTGTTCACCCTTCCCAGTGCCAAGCATACCAAGCACTTTGTGAAGTAAAGCCCTACCAGACCCCAGCAGTGCCAAATTTATAACCTGTAGTCCATGCACAGAGTTGTAAAGTGAATGGGTATTCCCTGCTTTGTTTTGTACACCTTAATTACTGGGGAAGGAGTACATTAAAACTGAGATCATGGGTTAATTAATTTGTCCTGGACTGTAGAATTTTATGGACAACCAGAACTAAAGTAATGGTTGTGTAGGTGCAATTGATTAAACATGGCTTATAAATGTTACAGAAATTCCAGTAATGAGTCCCTCTGCAGCGATCTAGCCTGGGAATTTTATAGTAGACATAAATTATGAAGGTGAAAACTAAGAGAAATTTTGAGTTGGCATAGTGCCATTTTCAGAAGCTGTAATTTGAAGAAACCTGTTTTGCATGATCATTAATAATTTTTTTTTTTCAGTTTCCACCATTCCCCTGTTAAAATTTTTGCTTTTTAACGTTGTTGCTGTTGTAATGCACTATCAGGTGTCCGTGCGTTAAACACAGGTGATACCTTATTCTATTAGGCCACCGGTGTCACTTCTGAAAGTACTTAAAAGTAACCAAAGGATGAAGCGGCCTGTTTGATCACACCTTCAAAGTCACTTTTGCATATTTGAATAGATTGAAGGGGAAAGTTACAGGTTCTATTTAAATAGTGTTCGCTGCCATTGGATCTTGACACACTTTAACCTGCCTGTTAAAATGCAAGTTATAAATAGCTCCTCTTTCAGAGGTGTTCATTATCCCTCATTGGTTCTTGTTATAGAAAATGCAAATGTAATTTGAAAAGTGCCTGTTCTGAGAGCAATTACCCGCGCTCCTCAGTCCTGAGTTCCATTGTCAAACGTGACCACTTGGTTAAGAAGCACGTTAGCCTTTGAAATGGAGATCTCCTCGGCTCCTGGCGGGCTCGGTGGGTAATGAGCAAATATCTGGCTTTTCCAGGGGAGCAAGCAGCTGTTGAACAACTATCCAGTCTACATCACAAGCAAACAGTGGGACGAGGCCGTAAATTCTTCCAAGAAAGACGGGCGACGGCTCCTCCGCTACCTCATCAGATTTGTTTTCACGACCGATGAGCTTAAGTACTCATGCGGCCTTGGGAAAAGGAAAAGGTCAGTGCAGTCAGGAGAGACAGGTCCTGAAAGACGCCCTCTGGATCCAGTTAAAGTAACATGCCTCCGAGGTACTGCATCCTTGCGCTCAGTGTCCGCCATCTGTGATCTCATTTCACCGCATGGACTGTGGCCCCCGCACAAGTGTTCAGCTTCACTGTATTTTGATTTCTTTCCACGGGGGACGTGTAGGATTCATGTGGCCCATCCCGTGGGCACCGAGAAGCTCTTTGACAAGTCTTCCTTTGCTTGGCCTTGTTCACACTTAACGGCACACATAAGCATCGCATAGTGCCTTGTGTTTCACACTTCAGATTCCGATTTTCTTTGCTGCCAGAGAAGGCCGCCTCTGGCAAAGCGGGGGCACGGGGAGGGGACTGCAGAGAGAAAGGGAGGATGTGGATTTTTTTTTTTTTTTTTGTAGAGATGAGGTCTTGTTATGTTGTCCGGGCTGGTCTAGAATTCCTGGGCTCAAGCAGTTCTCCCACCTTGGCCTTCCAAAGTGCTGGGATTACAGGCGTGTGCCACCACAACCGGCTTTTTTTTTTTTTTTGTAAGAAAACAGGAATTTATTGAGAGGACAGGAAAGCTCCCAGCAGTGGGAGGGGTCCCCAAGGGTTGACTCTATATATAATATAATATATATATATACACGCACATACATATATGTATATATATATATATTTTTTTTTTTTTTTTTTGAGTTGGAGTCTCACTCCATCGCCCACACTGCAGCCTCGCCTGCTGGGCTCCGGCAATCCTTCCGCCTCAGCCTTCCAAGTAGCCAGAATTACAGGCATGCGCTACCACGCCTGGCTGATTTTTTTAATTTATTGTAGAGATGAGGACTCACTGCCCAGGCAGGTCTCGAACCCGCGGGCTCAGGCAATCCACTCACCTCAGCCTCCCAAAGGCGCGGGATTACAGGCTGAGCCACTGAGCCCGACATACATACATTTTTTTAAGGGTAAAAATTTGTAGCCTTCCCCCCGAGCCCATCCAGTTACCTTCTCAAGAATACTTGAGCTAAGCCCTTAAATTTGTTTGGAATTCATTTTCCTTAGTGCCTAAAATATACCTTGCCCCGTAAAACTTTCTTCTTTGGGTTAAAAAAAAAAACTTTGGTATTGAAAGTGCAGCTTGGGTAATGCCGTTGCATGGGTGTTCACAGCTGAGTGCTTGGCAGCTCATCTCCACTAATGTCGGCCTGTTGGGGAGGGGTGGGGAGGGGAGAGTAGGGGGAGAGGGAGGAGTCAGGAAGTCTGTAGGTGATGCAGCTGGTGGGAATGAGCCCATGGCCAGACAAGTAGAAGCCTGGTAGTGCCAGCAGAAGCTTTGCTCAGCTCTGAAAAAGCCACGACCAGAAAGTTCCATGTTAACGTGTTCAGTTCAATTGGTTGGAAAGACTTCCTATTGATTTACTCTGGACAGGAATCCAAATTTCTCCTGGGGAGAAAGTCACAGTAAACTACAATGTGACCACAATAAGGCCTTGCTTAGGAGAAAGAACACTCAACTTATTATTATTTTTTTTTGTAGAGAGGAGGCTTCGCTGTATTTCCCAGACTGGTCTTGAACTTCTGGGCTCAAGCAATCTTCCCGCCTCAGCCTCCCAAAGTGCATGTGATTCCGTGCCTGAGATGTCTATGGACTGTTAGCTGTTGAGATTCCCTAGCCCCTCATGGATTCCAGTTCAGCAGGGTGGGGCAGGCATGGGTCCTCAAGACCCCCTAGGGACTTCCAAGATTCACCCAACTTAAGGAAATCACCTGAAGGGAAGGCACCCATATTCACTAAGCACGAGTGCTCCACGGCACCTCCTAGTGGCCGTCTGAAGATTCTACTTCCTTGGAGTGACTCCATGGTTGAAATTTCCTGGGTGTGTATTAGCAAACTAGCATAGGTTCTTCACACCCCAGCATCATCAGAGATGGTGGAGTTGCTTACCAGGGTCTAGTGTTGAGCTCAGGGGCTCCAAGGAGGACACCGTCTCTGCAAACTCTAGGAAGTTGCCCTTAGTCTTCTAAAGGAACCAAAAGAAGGGGTCTCCTCACATCTCTACCTTTTTCCAGAAATTCTTTTTTATGTGTGTTTTTTGAGTTGGAGTCTCACTTCATCGCCCAGGCTGGAGTGCAGTGGCACATTCACGTCCACCCCAGCATCAACCTGCTGGTCTCTGGTGATCCTTTGACCTCAGCCTTCCAAGTGGCCGAAACTACAGGCGTGCGCTACCACGTCTGGCTAATTTTGGATTTATGGTAGAGATGAGGTCTCGCCAAGTTGCCCGGGCTGGTCTCGAACCTTCAGGCTTAGACAATCCACTTGACTCGGCCTCCCAAAGGGCTGGGTTTGCAGACTGAACCACCAAGCCGACTCTTTTTTTTTTTTTTTTTTTTGAGGCAAGGTTTTACTCTGTTTCCCAGGCTGGAGTGCAGTGACAGGATCACAGCTCACCACAGCCTCCAACTCCTGGGGCTCACATGATCCTTTGGCGTCAGCCTCCCAAAGAGTTGGGACTACAGGCAGGTACCACCACACCCTGTTAATGTTTTGTTTTGTTTTGTTTTGTTTTGAGTTGGAGTCTCACTCTGTCGCCCAGACTGGAG